GGAACCCGGCGGCAGCGAATGGGGACGCCGCTCGGTGAGTCGTGCGTGGCCGCCGGCCCGGCGGGTGACGCCGCGGACCGCCTGGACCTCTGGCGCGCAAGCCCAGCGCCCAAGGGGCGGGCGGCAGGCGCGCGATGGGGGCGGCGCCGAGCCTCTCGGACTGCTGCGCCGGACCCCCGGGCCACAGGTGACCCCGCCCACCCCGCGGCCACAAGGGACCCCGCCCGTCCCGCGCGACCCGGAGGCGCAGGCTCGCGCTGCAGGGCCCCGGGCGTTGGGAACCGCGGAGGGCTAGAGGCGGAGAGAGCCCGAGGGGTCGGTGCCCAGGACGGCTGGACCGGTCCCCCGGGGCCTTTTCCCTGAACCGGCTTTGCCTGCGCCCAGGAGTTGGGCAAATTCCGCAGCGCTTTCGAGGTCGCTCGGGCCGGTGAATAATCGTGAGGACCTTTCCAGATCTTGTCACTGCTCGGTTTTCTTAACACTCACTGCAGGCAAACTGTTACTAGATTTGGTGTCCTCAAGGCAAAGAGGGCATGGGGAAAATTGTAACCATGTTTGGAGTATGTGTGCTAGATGACATCGGAGTTTAAATTCGTTTCTTCTCTTTTCCCCCCTAAAGTTCGGTTTTGGAAAAGGAAGCGTGCAAAGTTAATATTCACGTGCTGTCAGGGATGCTCAGGTGTGAGAGGGAGGCCGGCCGAGTCAGTTTTGGCACTTTTACCCCTTAGAAGCAGTTGTGCCTGATGACAGGAATATGTTCTGAGGCTGCCCTCTTCTTTTCTGGTGTGGTTTAAGACTGATGAGATCTGAAGTGTTAAATGACCCTTGAGTTAGGGTCCTGGGACTAGCGTTGCGTCAGTTGGGCCGAGTTGTATGTACTGTGATTAACCTGAATGACTGCTGCTATCAGCGTAGATGGGGTGTGTCCCCGTTTCATGACTACCTCTGAATAATTGCATCCATTGTGACTTGGTGTCACAGCAGAGAAAGGCACTTCTGGTCATACTTGGCCACATAAACTAAATATTTAAATTAGGCTGCTGGGTACAGTGGCTCATGCCTGTAATCCCAGTACTTTGGGAGGCAGAGGCAAGAGAATTGCCTGAGCTCAGGGGTTTGAGAGCAGCCTGGGCAATTTGGTGAGACCTCGTATCTACAATAAATAAAAAACTTAGCCGGGTGTGGTGGTGCATGCCCGTAGTTCTAGCTACTTAGAAGACTGAAGCCAAAGGATTACCTGAGCCCAGCAGGTCAAGGCTGAAGTGGCTGTGAGCATACATATTTATTAATCCATAAAAATAAATGAATAGATTAATTTAATTAAATTAAATAAGGCCAATTTCAAGACATTTATCTAATAATAAGGTCACCCAAGTGGATGTTGTAAAGTCCCATGGAAGACCACACACACATACCTTACGTTTCTAAGCTTGCTGGACCTGGGATTAGGACAAGACATCCAAAGAAAGAAAATAATGTATAATTCCCCTATTTACAGCCGCCTGCTGCTCAGAGAAGTTATACACACACACACATCACAAAAAAATAATGGTAGGGACAAAGCAGGAGCCCAAGTTTCCATTAACTCAATCTTTGAATAGTTAAATTTTGTAAGAAATTAAGACATCTTTAATAGACATCAAGGAACACAATTAAATAGTAACAACTAAAAAAATTATTAAGACTTTATCAGGCCGGGCGTGGTGGCTCAAGCATGTAATCCCAGCACTTTGGGAGGCCGAGACGTGAGGATTGCCTGAGTCCAGAGGTTTAAGATCAGCCTGAGCAACTTGGTGAGCGCTACTTGGTTCCAGATACTTGAAAGACTGAGGCGGAAAGATCGCCTGAGCCCAGCAGGTCAAGGCTGAAGTGGCCGTGAGCGTGCCACTGCACTCCAGTCTGGGCGACAGAGTGAGACTCCAACTCAAAAAAAAAAAAAAAAAAAAGAATTTAGCATCCAGTTTTTATATCTGTGACTTAAATATTTTTATTTTTAAAGGTGTCTGTTTAAAGCAATAAATAATTTTGAAATATGTAATAAATGTGTACATATTTACATATGTATGTACGTATTTGTATATATAGGAAAGACATTAAACTCTCTTGCTTACTGCAGCTAAAGCAGTAGGTACTTGGAAAGCTATTGATAGGCAGGGAGTTTGCAACGTGATCTGTGAAAATCACACCCTCCTAACAAACCTCAACTTTGTTATATAAACGTTGAACCAGATTGATCTGGTGCAGCCAGTAGGGCACTGTTGATTTATTGGGTTTTTTTTTTCTATTTAGTAAGTTGTATATAGGACACGGATATAATTTTAGCATTCATGGTATCATCAGTGATTTTCAACTGAAAAATAGAATGTTATTACTGATCTCATTGTGGGTTTTGAAAACTGCGGTAAATTTTGCTCTTTTTCTGACATTTGATGTTAACAATTATTGAATGTTAGAGATAGAAGGGGATATGGATGATCTGGTATATTCTCTTTCTCATACAGGGAGGGAACTGGTAACAGAAATCAAATGATTTGCCCAGGGTCCCAGAGCTGGCACGACAAACCCTGTCTCCCTATTCACTTGTGCCTTCTGTGAATATCCTGATTTGATTTCCCCAGTTTAGTATTTAAAATAAAAAAAAGAAGACTGAAGCTGCTTTATTTTGAGGAACTTTCAGCATTAAATCCCCTGATACAATGAAACCCAGGTACACTGATTTTTCCTCTGCCCTGCATACTATACTGTGGACTAGCCAGACTGTTGCTCACCCTGCGATGTGTCTTCAGGTAGGGAGAGGAGGGCAGCTTTGCCTTTTGGAGGTAATTTTCAGAAAGGTCAGTGCCCAAAACAAATTCTTAGGGACATTGCCAGAGATGAAGTACTTTATTAATGACCTTTCTTAGGTTGGCATTCTCATTTGAATTAAGAATTCTTCAACATTTGTGGGGAAATGTGTGCTGATAGTAAGAGTCTTGGATGGGGATGCGGGGTGGGAGGCGGGGAGGGGAATGCGGGGCTTTTCTCTGGTCAGCTAACCTGGTAATTACCTCTGTCTTTTTTCAGTTCATGGAGGGGTCGTCTCACCCCACAACGTCTCTTATGTGGGCTGAGCCATTATGGGGGCAAAGTCAGAGGTGTCCCTGTCCCTAGGCCAGGAAAGAGTTTATGCAGCGAGGAATTGACATTTGTTTGAGTCTAAATACATAGAACTGTGTGTGGTTCTTGCTTTGGGATACTTCTTCTTTCTTAATTTGAAATAAAATAAAGTGACTTCTTTTTTTTTCTTTCTTTTTTACCAGTTGTTTCTCCTAAAGTTGATAGCTCTTGCTGATCTAGAATGCAAAGAGCCAAAAATAGGCACAATTTTGCTTTCGTTTCATGTTTATATTGATGTTTCCAAGGCTCTGTAAAATCCTGACATTATTTCTGTATCATCAGAAGAAATTTATAATGTACGTATTGTACTTTCATTAAAAATTGCCAAAGTCTCAGCAAACCAGGAATACTTAGCACCCCAAGTATTCTCTATAACAAAGGAAAGTTTGGAAACAAAATATTTATACAAGGACAATGTACAAGATTTATTAGGTGTATCAGTCATTGTATTAGTACCTGTGACTTCTGTAACAAATGACCACAGATTCAGTGGTGGTTTAAAACGACATGGGTTTACTTTCTTAATCTTCTGGATGTCAGAAGTCCAAATGCGGTCTCCCTAGGCCAAAATCAAGGGGTTAGCAGGGCCAGGCTCCTGTGGAGGAGAATCCTTTTCCTTGCCTTTCCCAGCTGCTATTACTGTATTCCTGGCATTCTTTGGCTTGAGACTGCTTCATGTTCAAAGCCAGGAGAATGGCATCTTGCTGTATTCTTCCCATTGCTTTTTTCTGAAAGATCTCCCTCAGTCTCCCTCTTAGAAGGATACCTGTGATGACACTTAGAGGTGATTTGGATAATCTCCCCATCTCAGGAGCTTTGATTTAAGCACAGCTGCAAAAGCTCTTTTGCCATATTAGGGAACATTCACAGATTCCAGGGATCAGGACCCAGATATCTTTGGGGCCCTAGTTCAGCCAACTGCAGCTATGAATGTAAAGGCATGCTTGGTGAAGAATGGGCTAATTCATCCTCTCCTCTCAGGTCCTTCTGTTGGGCACCTCCCTCCCTCTCCCATCTACTCCATGAAGTATCTCCTGCTTCATCCCTTCCCTGTTCTGTGGGTTCCCACCCGCTGCTCAAGTGAGTCGTTGGGAATGTCTTAGAATGCCAGCATTCTCCAACTGGGGAGATATTAATTTGGTAAATATCTGTGAACTGTGTCAGAGCAAACAGGTCCTGCACCTCAGAGTAAATTCCTTCCCAGCCTGCCAGGCTGCATTTGCAGGCTGCCTGTCTGTTGGGTCCTCATCTGCCTCCCGTCCTCTCACCTGAGTCCTTCAGGTCTTCTTCTTGAACAGAAACCGAGAGACACGGCATTGGCCCTGATCTATGAGCCCATCTGCCCCCTAGACTGGATCTATCACTTCCCTTCTGTGAACTTCATCTTCCTTATCATTAAATGGGGAGTTGGTGATAGGTATCTCTAAAAACTTGTTGAGCTTTAACATTTTGTGAGCTTTAACATTTTGTGATCCTCTGATTCTGACCAGCCTGAAGATACCCCAGCTCACCCTGCCTCGACTGCCCAGCCGCATTCCTATTCTAGACCCTGCCAGGGCCGCCACATGCCCTGCACAGGGCTGTAGAGATGTGTGCAGCCTGGCCCCATCCTCTAAACCTGCTTCTGGAGGTGGAGATGGGGGTTGCACCCACTGCCCAAGAGATACGGTTGTATCATGGGGGTCAGTGTCCTCATGTCCCAGAACCAGGGGCTGGAGGACCTCGCCTGTAATAGCAGGAGGTCCTCAAGTGCGGCCAAAGACTGGGGCAACAGGCAAATGTTTGTAAGGCTTTCGTGTATCTTTGTGTGTGGCTTGACTTGCTATCTTTTATTTTAAAGGGTATTTTATTTTAAGGATAGCCTGAAGTGGGGTCTTTTCCCACATTATAAAAATACTCAGCCATCTTTTCTTGTATAGCTTAGTGAATTTATCATCCTGGATGATTTTTCAGGTTATAACACACCGCATATAAACCCACACAACACACCAGAGAATACAGGAATGGAAGTGAAAGCCAGTACCCCCGATCTGATCCCAACCCAGGAAGTGACTCCAGGAAAGCAGAGCGTGATCCTCTTCCCCGAGTTTCTCTGTGCTCATGGGCAAGTGTACTGATAGAAGTCCTCACAGAACAGGGTCACATTATACAAGGAACTGTTGTGTTTTTTACATTTAATATTAGAAACACACAAAATAATGTTGAGGGCCCCAAAAAGAAATGCTCAAAGTTGTGTGTGTGCCCTTGCCTGCTTACTGGACTAGATCATTTGTGGTAACACTCAGCAAGGAGGGGAAGAGTGCCGTTGCTGTGGAGGTCTGTGTTCATGCCATGCTGACTTTCCATCCATCGTTCCAGGTTCTCCATCATGGATCCTCTCGCAGAAGCAAATGGCACCTTTGCCTTAGACCTTTTGAAAACGCTGGGCAAGGACAACTCGAAGAACTTGTTTTTCTCACCCATGAGCTTCTCCTCTGCCCTGGCCATGGTCTTCTTGGGGGCAAAGGGAAACACTGCTGCCCAGATGGCCCAGGTACTGTTTCTGGGCAACTGTAGATGCTACTAATTGACAACTGATTCGGTTCTCCACATTCCAGATCCCAAAGGGATTTGCTCTAGACAATTAACTGTGGGTGTTGCAGGGTGTGGATGGAGAGTTGAAAGGGAAGGCCAGTCTTGCCAGAGCACCCTGGGCTAAGTGCCTGACATTATCTGGGGTGGAAGGGAGGGGCGCTGGATTCAGAGAAATGAAACTATCACCACATGGTTTAGCATGTTCTTGAGTTTGTATTTAGATGTGAAGTCACACAGTTCAGGTTGAGTCCTGTAGTCTTTGGATATTGTCACTTGCTTTGTGATAGCTAAGATGCTTTATTTTCTCATTTATGTGTAAAATCCTCTTAGAGATTGATAGGCTAAAAAGACAAATTTCCTGTTCCCCCCAAACTTACAATGATGAAACACAGTGGGATAACTGAAATAGGTACTCCCTCCAAAAGTGGTGGGGGAAGGTGTATTACTACTAATACTAGTAATAGTATTAGCTATTACTAGTGCTGCTGTGATAAAACACCACAGGCTAAGGGTTTCACCCACAGGGATTCACTTATTTTTCTCACAGTCCCGGAGGCTGGAACTCCTCGATCAGGGTAGGGCAGAGTTGGTTTCTGCAGAGACCTCTCTCCTTGGCTTGCAGATGGCATCTTCTCTCTGTGCACCACATGGTCATTCCTTTCTGCACATCTGTATCCTCATCTCTTCTTATAAGAACACCAGTCAGATTGGATTAGGGCCCCCTTTAGGACCTCATTTTAACTTTATTACTTCTGTAAAGGTCCAGTCTCCAAATAGTGTCACGTTCTGAGGTACTGGAGTTGGGACTTCAACATGCAAATTTTAGGGGACACATTAAGCCCATCAATAAGAGGCGTGGGAAGCATGTCACAATCACTGAACTGTAGCACTTCTGAAACTCAGCCAGGTGTGCAAGGCCAGTGCCTCAGCCCCGAGTACAACGACTGTCCTTGACCGAGCCCCCACTGCGGCTTTCCAGAGCTGCTCCTCAGCTGCTGTGCCTTGGCCATGGCTCTCTCCTCTGTGTTCTAGCCAAGGTCTCATGTGTGCTGCCCCTCTCAGCCCACTTCCTGCCCCATAGACTGTGGGACCCACAGGCCTCCCTTCACTTTGAGCTGTCTCTCCCTTAAAAACCACTGCAGGGCCAGGTGCAGAGGCTCATGCCTGTAATCCCAGCACTTTGGGAGGTGGAGGTGAAAGGATTGCCTGAGCCCAGAGGTTCAAGTCCAGCCTGGGCAACTTGGTGAGACTTTGTCTCTACATAAATAAAAAAAATTAGCCAGGTGTGGTGGCGTGCACCTGTAGTCCCTTACTTGGAAGAATGAGGCAGAAGGATCACCTGAGCCCAGCAGGTCGAGGCTGTGGTAGCTGTGAGCTGTGCTATTGCACTGCTTTAGCCTGAGCGGCAGAATGAGTAGCCTGACTCAAAAAAAAAAAAAAAAACCACCACTGCGGGATTTCTATCTATCAGCTTAGAGTCTGCCTCCCTGGGCAAAAGCCTCATGTGTGCACATGTTTGGGACAGTGCTCCGTGTTGGGCTGGGCATTGGTGCTATGGGTTGGAGTCCTGGAGATGCTTGAAAGCCCCTTGTCCAGCCAGGGGGGTCTATAGTTGCTGCTGAGGATTAGCAAAGTGGATATTGACCTCACCTCGAAGTCAGAAATTAGGCTTTGATCTTAGTCCTGAGGCCAGTTTTTACCTTAAAATCATTTGCCAGCTGAGGAGGCTGGGAATAAGAAATATTTTTATTTTCCACCCAACATATCCTGGGTTGAAAATAGTTCTTTTAAATTCTGCTTGAAAATGGAATAATTCCTTCTTTAACTCTTCCCTAGCAGCTGAAAGGAGCCATGTTCTTCCTGGACCCCTCAGCCAGATGCACAGGTTCATGGGGGATATTTCCTACCTCCTCTGTAGCTGCAGGCGACCGTCTTTCCACTAATCCTACTGGCACACACCATGGCTCCCTTCCTCCAGCTCCTAGAAGTAACAGTGTCACGGTTCTTCCAGATTCTGCCAGCTGCCTGGGTTCAAAGCCAGGGCCACATATTTTAGGGTTACAATAAATCAAAAAATTAGCCAGGCACCTGTAGTTTCAGCTACTTGGAAGGCTGAGGCGGAAGGATCACCGGAGCCCAGCAGGTTGAGGCTGTGGTGGCTGGGAGCATGCCACTGCACTCCAGTCTGGGCGACAGAGACTCCAACTCAAAAAAAAAAGGTTCTTGTCATGACAGAACTCCACTCTATCTGACCTGGAAGTTTCATGAAGTTCTCTTTGACTGTTGTCTAGGTCTCGGTTCTCTTCCAGGTGACTCTCCCAGGCAGTGGCTCTTCACCCCAAGGCTCTCTACATGGCCTCCATTGGGATAGTTTGCACTTACAGTGACTGGAGTGCAAGACATGGCAGCTGTCCGGCCTTTTAAAAAGGGCCCAGACCTGGAACAACATCCCTTCTGCTGAATTCAGTTGGTTGGAGCCAGTGGCAGGGCCAGCCCAGACCTCAGGGCGGGAGAGAGCCTGAACCATCCAGCATCAGGAGCGGCCTGTGTTTGTGGCAGCCTTGTTAGCAGCCACACTCCAAGCAGTGAGCACAGAGAGCCTGGGCTTGGGGAGGGGCATTTCTGCTCATACCAGCACTTTCCATACCAGGGCGCTGGGAGGGAGCTTTTGAGACATTCTGGTGGTTAACTGGATGAATGTTTTGAACGGTAATAAGGATCTGCATGGTGACTAAGCAGAGTTTGGTGTTGCCCAGTCTCCTGAAGTTGTATGTTGTTACTGTGTTTGATTTTAGGTGCTGTCTTTAAATAAAAGCGGTGACAGCAGGGACGTCCACCAGGGCTTCCAGTCCCTTCTCACTGAGGTGAACAAGACTGGCACGCAGTACTTGCTTAGGACAGCCAACAGGCTCTTTGGAGAACAGTCTTGTGATTTCCTCTCTGTAAGTCACTAAAGAAATAAAGCTGACAGGGTGATGGGAGGGGAGCCGGACTCAACAAGAAGCATGTGGGCTCTGAATGTCATGATACCATATATTCAGTTTCGCAGTTTGTTTCTTTTTACCTACTGATATGTCTTAAATTCTTTGCATCTCAGTATATGTGGCTCTACCTCGTGCTTTTGAACTGCTGATGTCCCTAAGCATGGCTATATCTTGATGTTGTAAGCTGTTCCTCATTGATGAGCATTTAGCTCAAAGCCAACCTGGGCTATTACCAACATCAAGTGTTTTTACACATGATTTTGTGCATATTCACATGTTGTTCCAAGATCGGTTTGTAGCGAGGAGGAAAGAAGTGAAGCTTTGAAAGTTTGTTAAATATTGCTAAATTGGGCCAGGCATGGTGGCTCACACCTATAATCCCAGCACTTTGGAGACAGAGGCAAGAGGATTACCTGAGCCTAGGGATTTGAGACCAGCCTGGGCAACATGGCAAGACCTCATCTCTACAATAAATCAAAAAATTAGCTGGCCATGGTGGCACACACTTGTAGTTCCAGCTACTTAGAGGACTGGGGCAGAAGGATTGCCTGAGCCCAGGAGGTCAAGGCTATGGTAGCCGCAACTGTGCACCTGACTACACTCCAGCCTGGGTGACAGAGTGAGATTCTGACTCCAAAAAAATTCCTAAATTGCTCTCCAAAATGTTGATTCTATTATGTTCAGGGTTATTAGCAGAGGGCTCATTTCCACTTGTCATCAACATTGCATATTGTGACCTTTTAAATGAGTTTGAACAACTTTTCTCAAGTTTTTTGAGCTTGTGTATGTTTTCTGAGAATTGCCTATTTATATATTCTTTGCACTTTTTTTCTATTGGGCTGTATGCCCTTACTGACTTATAAGAGTTTGGAATATTAATCTTATGCTTTTCTATGACTTTTTCCCATCATTTCTCAAACTAGTTTCAGACTCTTCATTAATTGTTTTAAAATAAATGGTGTGAAGTGAATAAATGGTGGTCAAGTGTGAGGTCAAATATTGGTAAGATTTATACACTACAGTGTGATTTTTTTTTTTTTTTTACAACTTGTTTTAGTCTTAGCTACTTTCTAGGTTATTGTCTTCTTTCTATATAAAGAAAAACAAAACTTTAACAAACACAAAGGTTTGGCTGATTCACTTTAATTTTCTTTCTTTTTTCTTCTTTTTTGATGGATGTTTTAAGGAAAGCATTGATATTTAAAATTTTCATATTACAAAAAAGATTTGAAATATTTATCAGTTATTTCTCATTTACTGTCAAAAGGATTCAGTATCAGTCTCAATAAGTAATTAGATAATCCCTTTAGTATGATTATTCACAGCTTATAAAACAGCAATGTATCAAGTAGCAGACAGTTATTTTCAAATATGTTTAAAAGTTATAAAAATCACCCAAGGGTATGGGAAGTTATCAAATATGCAAGTGACTGGTTTGCTTCCAGACTATTTTTCTTAGGTTGGGATATTTAAAATTTTTTCAAAAACATTGATCAACAAACTGAGCTGCAAAATTGGCAAAGCAATACTATGTGAGGGTTAAATGAAAAGCTATATGTTCACCTTGTGCAGTGCCTACAGTATACTGAGACTTCAGCAATGTTACATAAAACATTAAGAATGAAAATAATTCATCTGATCCTCAAAGTAACCCTCTGAGACATAGCTAGTGTTACCTCTTCATTTACAGAAGACAAGGAGGCATAGAGGAACTAGTTGACTTTATAGGTTGTAGCACTGGTGTTCATAACTACTGTGTCACATCATTTCTCTAACCCTTTGCACTCAGATGTTCCCTCTCAGGGGACATCATAAATCTTGTATGTCCCCTCTCAGGGGACTGTTGATTGCTGGTGATTATATAGGACAAACTTATGCAAGTGCAGATTTTTCAAAAATGTATATTTCCTTGAAGTTTTCCATTCAAAAACAATGAAAAAAACCTATGTCTCAATGGAAATTTGTCGAGCTTCTGATTGATCAGTTGAGAAGTGGTTTTCAGGAATCACAAGTATATCTATCCTTCCACATCGCCTTTGAACAACAGACTGCACAATAAATTACATGTTATTAATGTGGGAGGAAGAAAATGAGACTGCATTGCCTACTCGAATAGATAAACACCAGGTGGAGGATGTCAGACAAATTATTACTGCACAGCATGTATATACCTGCAATACATGTCAGTGACTGTTCACACATTACCACACATTAGAAAAACATAAGATATAAAATTTTGATTTTTTTGTCATAAATAAGTTCCTTAATGTCCAAAATTCCATTATAAGCCAAATATCATTACAATAAAGAAATTGGTTCTAGCACTATACTGTTTAATATGAAGTGATTCGTTTTTCACTATTTCATAAATGGTAGGTGATCCATGAGATGTCTCTGAGTGCAAAGGGCTAATGATATACTGAAGAAGAAATGTGAAATCCTATAATAGAAGAAACAGTGGCTCATACCTGTAATCCCATCACTTTGGGAGGTGGAGGCAAGAGGATTGCCTGAGCCCAAGGGTTTGGGACCAGCCTGGGCAACTTGATGAGACCTTATTTCTATAATAAATCAAAAAATTAGCTGGAAATATCGCCTGAGCCTAGCGGGTCGAGGCTGTGGTAGCTGTGAGCATTCCACTGCACTCCAGCCTGGGTGACAGAGTGAGACTTTGACTCAAAAACAAAAAACAAAAACACCTGTAATCCCAATGCTTTGGGAGACAGAAGCAGGAGCATCACTTGATGCCAAGAGCTCAAGGTTACAGTGAACTGCCACTGCAATGTAGCCTGGGTGACAGAGTGAGACCCTGTTTCTGTAAAACAAAACAAAACAAAACCAGTTCTCAAAAGGGGCATTAAGTGTTTAACCATAAGCTATTCAAAAGAAAGACTGGAAATCATTCCATAGTGTACTGTCAACATGATTAGTTATTCCAGCTCATTTATTTTCCATCAAATTTTCTATATGGCAGAATGTAGCTATTCATCAATATCGTTATCATTTCATTGAATGTATTAGCAAATTAAAATTTGAATTTGTTTTGAGAGTTGTTCACAGTCTAAAATTGATCCATCTAGCATGATAGCTAGACACAAGTAGCTATTTAAATTCCAATGCAAATAATTAACATGGGATAAAATAACATATTCCACTTGACTGCACTAGCTGCGTCTCAGGTGCTCAATAGCCAGGTAGTTCCCTTTTGGAAGGTGCTGAATTAGAATATTTTGTTATCACAGAAAGCTGTGAGGGACATGCTGGTGCAGAATTGCTCATGTTTCCATGTTCTGTGGAGCCTCAGAGCTTGGTCACACCCTGCTGTTCTGCAGTGTAAGGGGGCTATGGCTCTTGCTGGGCTGACCCCCACCCAGCATGTCCAGGGGCTATCAGGAGGGACGCATTCTAGTGACTGCATTGCAATATCCTATTAGTTACCTCCCTGATGCATAGTTAACCCTTAAAGGACCAGCACTTCGTGAAGTTTATTTGATAATCAGACCATGGTTTGACTTAGTTTATAAGCTTGGATTAAATATAGCTAAAGTGGAGAAGTTCTGTTTTAGGTTAATTCCACATATTTATTTGTAAGTTATGTATGCAAATTATAAAATTATTGACTTTCTGATTTGGTGCAATGAAGAAGTAAGCTGTTGGTGTTCACTATTTTTGGAGCTGTGCAGTTATGTCACTCTGTCTATTCTAGACTTTTAAAGATGCCTGCCGAAAATTCTATCACGCAGAGATGGAAGAGCTTGACTTTGTCAGTGCTGCAAAAGAGTCCAGAAATCACATAAACACCTGGGTAGCTGAAAAGACAGAAGGTGAAATATAGTGTTATTCTATTTGTAATAGTATCTTAATCGTTTTATTATCATTCTTTCACAAGACCTTCAAATGTAAACAGAATTATTTTTTTCCCTGTAAACTACAAACTTTAAAAATCTGCTTTTGAAATATTGTCAATATTTGACATTTTGGAAATGTCAAATGTAGGACATTTTGGAAATGTTAAACGTGTGACCTTTTTTTCTAGCTTTTCCCTTCCCATCATGTACCTGTGGTATCACAATATTTGGTTCAATTCTGGAGCAATCATATTTAATTTTTGGAGGGTGGGGTAAATGTTAGAGTAGTCTTTCCTTTCACAAATAGAATTTTTCTTTTATTTTAAAGATGTGGGATACGATTAGGATTAGGTATACAAGTGGTCATTGAACAGGTAAAATTTGGGCCTTCCTTTTGTCTCCACTTTGCCTGGTTTGAGATCAGGTATCTTTATTGATGTTATGTGCCCCTCACAAATAGCATTTAACAACATGCATTTTGAGTTGAACTGCCTCCCTCATGAGTACAACTCATCTCTATGCTCTGGTCTACCTGCAATTCTTCCTTTCCACCGTTCTTTAAGCTTGTAAAGAGCATCTTCTAACTGCCCAACTTTTTGCCAGTCTTTTAAGTTACTGTCTTTAAGTCATAGGCACCAGTCATCTCTGTCTCATGTGTTATGAATTCATTTTGCGTATATTAACACTTACTTGTTCACTTTAAGAATTTTATTCAAAAGATGGTGGTTTTCTTGCCAGTACTTTGAAAGCTTTTGTTAAATGTCCCTTTATATTTGGGGGACAGTGAAACTCTTTATCTGTATACTTGACTGCTCAAGGAGATGGCCCCATCTGAATGTCCTTGCTAACGTGTCATGCATCAGCAAACTTTTTTTTTCTGAGTCAGAGTCTCACTCTGTCACCCAGGCTGGAGTGCGGTGGCACACTCATGGCCACTGTAGCCTTGACCTGCTGGGCTCAGGCAGTTCTTCCTCAGCCTTCCAAATAGCTGGAACTACAGCCACTGTGCCCGGCTAATTTTTTCGCCAAGTTGCCCAGGTCTCAACCCTCTGCTTGCCAAAGAGCTGGGATTACAGGTGTGAGCCACTATGCCTGGCCCAATCAGCAGACTCTTCTAACTTGTTCTTTAATTCTTCCTTTTAGGTAAAATTGTAGAGTTGCTGTCTCCAGATGCAGTGAATTCCTTGACTAATCTGGTTCTTGTGAATGCCATCTACTTCAAAGGAAACTGGGATAAGCAGTTTAACAAGCAGCAGACCAAGGAGAGACCATTTAAAGTCAGCAAGGTGAATACGGTAACAAAGGAGATTGTTGGACTGGTCCTTGTGTTCACACTGGCTTCTAACATATGTGACAAGTTGGCCTCAAGTCACGGTGCCTTGTGTGGCTGTGGGTAGCTGGCAGCCGGACTCCCCATGGCCTTGAGATGTCCTCTCATCCTGCTCTTCCTTCTGCGTGTCATCAGCGGTGGCTGTGTGCTCCTTGGCTCCTGGGCCAGCCCCCTACCCTGTCACCTGCCCTGCTCCCTACACAGCAAATCTAACAGTGTGGCTCTCGGGGCTCATTAAAACTTGAAAGTTCACACTCCAGAATATGGTGCTGAGGCTCTTGGGGGACCCGGATCCTGCCCATTTCTCTAGTTTCATTCCCAACAGGATCTACACACCTTTTTTTCTCCAGCAACATTCTCTGGAAGCCCTCCAGAGCCAGGCAGTCCCCCCTCGGTGGCCCCCAGAAGCCACTGCAGGGTTGAATGATGCCTCGCTCTGCTGCTATGTGAGCACAGGGACTGGCTCTCAGTTGGTGCTCAGTAAATACTGAACCATCTAGTGATACTCATTCTTCTCTTGATAGTAAGAATATGTTTTTGTTTTAAAACTAATCAACAAAGGGACATAGATACTGAGTTTAGCCATCTCCAGCTTGGAAGATGTTTCTTGCTGATAGCTCTTTATCTTTCTCTCACTAAATCCAGATTTGTCTTTTATGTTTTATTTATCTTTAATTAGAGATTTTTATGCACAAAAACAGAATAGATCAATTACTGTGTATTCTTCATTAACAGTAGGTTAGATCTTCTCTGGCAACTTGAGCCCGAACCTTCAGCTTCCCAAGAAATGTATTTTCTTCTTTTCTTTTTTAAGATTAGAATATACAGTTTATTTAGAAAGTAAAATTAAGAGAGAAAGAGTAGATTCATCTCCCCAAGGTAGGGGAGGCGGCCAAAACCAGGAAACATGGCGACAGCGATAGCTCAAAGAGCACATGGCCATACCACAGTCTAGTAGGATAATGGCCACAATGACCTGGCAATGGACTGGCAATGGCCAACAAATGTATTTTCTTTTGAGCTTTATTCTGGAAGGAACTGTCCTATTTTCCCCTGGCAAAGTCATTTCTCTTGAAATTAATCCTTAACAAGATGCATGTGAGGACATCATTCAACTATAAGTAACAGAAACCTCAGCTTCAGAAAGGGAAACCCTCCTTCCACATGGTGTCAACCACAGCTATTTTGTGCGGACTGGGGAGGTGAGGAGTCCTGTCCTGTGTTCTTGTCTCTGTGTGGAGAAAGACAGGGTGAGGCAGCTGTAGTACTCAGTGCACCATCCTGTGTGGGCGTGCTTCCAGGGTTTCAACTTGATATGGATTTTCATTTTAGCTCCTTATTCCTAAATGAAATAGAACTTATCTACACAGTTGTGTAGTTAGTGACTCATATAATTACAAAGATTGGATCCTTTCGTGTTACAAGATTGGAGGCTTTGAGCTCTGGAGGGTGTAGAGAGGCCTTGCCCAAGGCAGTGGTCAGTGAAATGGACCAAAACCAGCCCACTGCCTGCTTTTTTAGATCAAGTGTTATTGGCACAAAGCCATGCATATCTGCTTATATGTTTCATTCTACAACAGCAGGATTGAGTAATTGTGACAGAACTAGTATGTATGGCCACAAAACCAAAAACATATACTCTCTAGTCAGTTTTGGAAGATGTATGTCAATCACTAGCCAAGAAACAGAGTAAGGCAGCTAAGGTCCAGGAGGCTGTGCTCTCTGAAGGTCAGCTCAGGTGGGCCTCGACAGGGTGAGAGCAAAATTCTACAACAGCAGTGTCTTTGATTTGTTCCATTTAATACAGAAAAATGTGCCATAACAGAGAACATATAGGGCCTGCAGCTGTGCCTGTAGCAGGGTGTTCAGAGATCTGCTAGGATTAAATTACAGAGGCATCAGACACTAAGGAGTTTTGTTGGATAGGGCATAGTCACCATCTATGGCTTTTTCTCACTGGTGGGGATGCACTGGTGACCAGTGCAGTTCTTCCTAGTAAGATGTGTACATTTTGCCTGGTGTTTTCAATATTCTTGCTCATTAGTTCATTTGTTCATTTTTCAGTCCTAGGCACTATTACAATAGTTGCAAACTCAGGGAAGCATGTCTGCCCTCATGAAGCTTATGTGTTCCTGGGGAAAGATAGCAAGCATAAATCAGAACACAGGAGGCCAGGCATGGGAGCTCACACCTGTAATCCCAGCACTTTGGGAGGTCAAGTCAGGAGGATCAGTTGAGGCCAGGAGTTCACAATCAGCCTCAACTGGTCTTGAACTCCTAGCAAGACTTGACCTCTACAGAAAAATTCTTTAAAAAATTAGCTGAACATGTTGGCACATGTCTGTCCTCCCAGCTACTTAGAAGAGAAGACTAAGGCAGAATGGTCACTTGAGCCGAGGAACTCACTAGAGCCCAGGACTTTGAGGTTGCTAGTAGCCATGATTGCACAACTGCACACCAGTCTGGGCAATAGAGCAAGACCCCAACACTAAAATAAATAAATAAATGCATAGGCACTTATTAGTGGTAAATGCTACAGAGACATACCAAGGAAGGGGATAGGAAATTGTGTTTGGGGTGGGGGTGTGATGTCAGGTTTATCAAGGAAAGCTTCCCTGTGAAGGTGATGATCACACACAGACTGGAAAGGGGCGGGGGTATGCTCTCCAGGTGCTGGAGATGGTATGAGCCAGGTTTGCCCACAGAACCATGAAGAGACCCCTTTGACTGTAGCCGGTGAGCAAAGGGAGAGGGAGGAGGGGTGAGCTCTTGGCATGGTCATTTCAGGACTTCAGCTCTTGCCTGAGTGCAGGGGCCACAGAAGGGTGTCTTGCCAAAGAGCCGTGTGATCTAACTTAGGCTTCACCAGATCCCTCTGGCTGCTGCGCCGAGAACAATCAGGCAGAGGTTGTCACGAGGTTCCAGAGTGAGGCTGGCAGCAGTGGGGGCAAAAAGAAGAAGCCAGATCTTGGTTATATTTTCAGGATAGAGCTAATATAATTTGCTAATGAGTCAGAGACAGGGTGTGAGAGAAAAGTGGGGTAAAGGGCACTCCTGGACTTTGGACAGCTGGACAATGGTATTGCTACTTGCTGCTGTGAGCAGAGTTGTAGACAGAGACGACTTGAAGGGATCTATAGAGCCTAGTGTTATAGGTGACACTGGGAGTTCATTTGTTTCCTTTCTTCCTCCCTCCCTTCCTCCCTTCCTTCTTCCCTTCTTTCCTTCCTCTCCCCACCTCCCTCTCTCTCCCTCCCTCTCTCTCTTTCCCTCCACCCTTTCTTTCTATAAGGTCTCGCTCTTTCACCAGGGTGGAGTGCAGTGGTGCAATCATAGCTCACTGAAGCCTTGAACTCCTGACCTCAAGCAATCCTTTCACCTCAGGCTCCCGAGTAACTAGGACTACAGGTCCCACCATGCCTGGATATTTTTTAAATATTATTTTTTGTAGAGATAAGGTCTTGCTATGTTGCCCAGGCTGGTCCTGAACTCCTGAACTCAAATAATTCTCCCTCCTTGACCCTCTAAAGTGCTGGCATTACAGATGCACATCACCATGCCCAGCCAGGAGTTTCTTCTATGTCCAAATGCAGTGGGCATGTAAGTGAGCAGTAAAATGCAGAAGTCTAGGGTCTAGGGAGAGGGCCAGGCTAGTGATTTAAATGTGGGATTTCCATTTAAAGTCATGAGACTGAATGAGATCATCAGAGAGAAAAGAAGTGTCAAGTTGAAGCCCCGGGCACCCCAGTGTCATGAAGAAGAGTTGGCAGAGGAGGGACAGATGGAGTGTTCTGGAAACCAAGGGAGAAAGTGTTTTTAGGGGCCAAGTATTGGCAGCTCTGTTGAATTTGTCCAGTGTGTCATCTGGGTCTTGTTTCAGCTTAATGCTTATCTGTTTCCTTTGTAGAATGAGCAGAAACCTGTGCAAATGATGTTTAAGAAATCTACTTTTAAAATGACCTATATAGGAGAAATATTCACCCAAATTCTGGTGCTTCCCTATGTCGGCAAGGAGCTGAATATGATCATCATGCTTCCAGATGAGAACACTGACTTGAGAACGGTAACAGAACTAAGTGGTGATGGAACCATACTGGCAAAAGCCTTGCGGTCAGGCTTCCACTGTGGCTGTGCTCCCTTCCCCTTGTCTTTTTAATGCTAGCACAGCTGTGAGTGCAGCCACCCTGCCGCCCAGTACAGAGCACTCAGGGTATCGCGCACGGCCCCACTGATCAGCACCACCCTAAGTCTTAAAGTCTTCCACTTTGTCCTTCTAGGTGGAAAAAGAAATCACTTATGAGAAATTCATAGACTGGACGAGGCCAGACATGATGGATGAAGAAGAGGTGGAAGTTTTCCTCCCAAGATTTAAACTGGAGGAGAATTATGACATGAAGAATGTCCTTTGCAGCATGGGTATGAGCGACGCCTTTGAGCCAGGAGCAGACTTCTCCGGAATGTCGTCCAAGAGAGGACTGTTTCTATCCAAGGTTGTGCATAAGTCCTTTGTGGATGTCAATGAGGAAGGCACGGAAGCTGCAGCTGCCACAGCTGCCGTCATGATGCTGCGGTGTGCCCGGATCTCCCCTCGGTTCTGTGCCGACCACCCCTTCCTTTTCTTCATCCAGCATTGCAAGACCAACGGAATTCTGTTCTGTGGCCGCTTTTCCTCTCCATGAGGACATGATGGCTGCCATGTGCAGCCGCTCTCTCTCCTGCTGACCAGCTGTCTTCTGACACTCCACAGTGTGCCTGTACCCCAAGTGGCCTTATCTGTGTGGTTCAGCAATAAAAGGCCTGATGGTGGAATGCCATGTTCAAAGCTCTGTGTCTGTGTGTCTGCCTGTGAGATATCTTTTTTGCTGCTCTCTGCAGGTCTGGGTTGTGTTGGCAGGGGCAACACTGGTCACTGAGCTCCCGCCTGCTGGGGTTGAGGTATTACTCACCCCCATAGATGTGAGGCCTGTGGCTTCACTGTGGGCAGCAGCTGCCCTCGGCATCAACCATGCAACTCTTCCTCAGGCATAAGAAGATAAATGGTGCTTCTCTGTCTTCTCTACTTGGTGAGGAGGAAACTTTACCCCACTTCTAGTGCGAGAACAGAGTGGAATGGAAGCAGTGGAGGGTGCGGGGAACTGGATTCCAGAGCTGCAAGCACTCCAGAAGCATGCACGGAGGTGGGAGAGCAGGTGACTCAGATGGGGGAGAAAACAGTCCCCTTCCCATGGGTGTTTCTGCTTTCCCGGGGACGAGCGGGTCACAGTGCTGTTCAGATGCACCAGACAGATGAGACATGTTTGGTCTCAGTAATGTAGTTTATGGTTGTGTTACGACTTTTTGTTTCTCTGCAAGTATTACAACCAGAAAAGGTGGCTGAGGTTTCTGGGGCTACTTTTGTCACTTGCTGGAAATGTGGTCGCGCACTCAGCAGTACAGGAGGGTGTCGATGGGTGGGGTCCCTGGGGAGGGGCTTATGCTGCCGTCCAGGGCGGCCTGTGTCAGGCAGTGGGAGCCCTGCCTGTGACCCGATGGGTCAGCCCTCCCCTCTCTCTGCCTGGCCCCTTGTCCCTTTGCTTCCATTCATTTCAGTGGGAGCAGCACTGGGAGGTATGGCCATGACGAGCGGGAAGAGAAGGGAAGTGGGAGCCAGGGCTTTCATCCTCCTCCCTCCTCTGCATAGCATTCTTGATACTTTTTAAAGAATTAGGACAAGCCTGAGCCTGCGGGTTCGAGACCTGCCTGGGCAACTTGGCGAGCCTTCATCTCTACAATAAACCAAAAAATCAGCCAGGCATGGTAGCGCGTGCCTGTAATTCCGGCTACTCGGAAGGCTGAGGCGGAAGGATCGCCGGAGCCCAGCAGGTCAAGGCTGTGGTGGCCGGGAGCGGCTACGGCACTCCAGTCTAGGGGACTGAGTGAGACTCCAACTGAAAAAAAAAAAAAAAAAAAAAGAATTAGGACAAGTGGGCCTGGAATGAGGTGGAGCGGGATTTCTGACGTGATGCTTCAAGCCTCTGTGCTACAGCCGGGGGCAGTAGCAGCCTGGCGTCCTGTTCCTGGGGAAGGGTCCACTTGGGCAGGGAGGGAGCGAGGGTGAGTGGAACAGTCCATCTGTCAGGGCATCATGGTGCTCGGCTTCCTTTTTCCTGGGATGAGAACCCAGGACCATCTCAGTGGTGAATTATGATGAATGCTGGTAGCCCCACCTGTTGAAGATCCCTGACACCAGTCAAAGAGCAACAGACAATGTGAGCTCTGCTCTGAGGCTCCTGGCCCTCCCTGAGGTATGCCCTTCAGTGTCTGTGAAGCTGCTCTTGAAGAGTTCCCTATCACTTAGCATTCAGTTACATTTCAGTGAAAGGTCCAACCACCCAAGTAATACCTCTGCATCTTTTATAAAATGGCACTAGAAGACACTGGGATGATTTTTGTTCATTTAAAAAATTGTTTTAATTTAAAAATTTTCTACAGTGAACATATATATTCTTGTATAATTGGAAAAATATTTTAAAATATTATTTTGAAACTGTACAGGCTTTGCGTTATATTTAAATATTGTGGAACTGAGAAGGGAAGATCTGTTCTTTCCTTGTAAGTGATTATAATGCTCACATGCAAAGGTTTCTCTTTCATTGTTCCTTACCCTTCTCTCCTCACGTTCTCTTCATTTCAGTTCACTCACTCTTGAAATGGCTCAGCCTTTGGCAGTCAGGGCAGGCATAGCTCTGGGCTGGACAGCCCCTGTGCTTGGCCAAGTGGCTGACTGCAGTCATGCAGATAGTGGCCAGAGCCAGGGCGTGAGTGGTGAGGCCCTGGATGTGCCCATCCTCCGTAAGGGGTATGATTCTTTGAGGTGGTGGTGTGTGGTCTGGGGAAAGGAGAACTGAACTGTCGGCTGAGGCTGAACTCTGTTGTGCCTGCTTCCATCCATTCCCTTGCTGAAATCATCCACATCCATGCAAACAGGGCAGGCCTCACAGTCAGGCGGCACCTGGCTTCCAGTTTCCACACAGATGCTGTATGTGTCTCTCAAGGCATCAGCATTCCAGTCTTACTAAACACAGGCAGAGAATAAAAAAGAGGAGACACCTTTAGTTCACTGTGTATGGCTAGCACAGCCTTGATAATTTAAGGACAGTATGGAAAGTATAAATTTAGCCCATGAATACACAGGTACTGCAGCATGATAAAATTAATATCACCTGTCCCTTTGTAAAATAAAGGAGCTAGATCATAGGTCATATCACTAGATGTAGGAATAGCTACCTCACCCTCAAATGGATCACAGAGGCTGGTAAACACAAGTAATAGGCCCATCTATTGACAGGGTTGGGTTTTTCTCTTATTAGCCAGACGAAATGCAAAGGCCTTGCCGTACGATAACTAATTTCATTTTCATAGCAGCCTTTTGATATAGATTTCATTTCTTTTCTTTTTTTTTTTGAGTTGGAGTCTCACTCTGTCGCCCAGACTGGAGTGCAGTGGCTGCTTCCGGCCACCGCAGCCTCAACCTGCTGGGCTCCGGCGATCCTTCCACCCCAGCCTTCTGAGTAGCCGGAATTATAGGTGTGCGCTACCACACCCGGCTAATTTTTTTATTTATTGTAGAGATGAGGTCTCGCCT